AATGGGAGGATTATATTTAAACCACTTCTCCTTAGGGAGATCAACATGAGTAGCAAAAGATTCACAGAAAGAAGCTACTATCTCAGAGTCAAGTCCATATTTAGCGCTAAATCCAGGAAAAGCATCGATATCCATAAAAGATTTAACACAATCAAACTTAGGTGTCATACCTGACTCCTTACCATCATCGGAACCCCAACCTTCAGAGTTGCGTTTAATTCTTTCCAATAAGTCCCTTTTGAATTCAATAGTCTTCAGCATATAAGAACCAGCACAAGAAGTATCGAGCATGTTGCGATCATTGAGAGAAAGACGAGCATAAAATTTTTGAATAATCATTTCTCTGGAGAGCTCATGATTGGGGGCATGAATATAACATTGACTTAAGCCTCCCCCAAGCTTGAGCGATGCTTTCTCCTTTGCGAGGCCAGAAATTATATATGTAATTACGATCACGATGAACAAGATGCATAGGGTAGAACTTCTGGTGAAATTCCAACTTCAATCGTTTATAATTCCAAGATCCCGTATCATCACATAGCCTATACCATGTTAATGCATCTCCCTTCAAAGATAAAGGGAAGACCTTCTTTTTGACAACATCATCGGGAATACCTGCAAGCTTAAATAATCCACAAACTTCATCCACAAAGATAAGGTGTACATCGGGATGCAATGTTCCATCTCCTGCAAATGTATTAGCTAGCAGTTTCTCTATCATACCCAAAGGAATCTCAAAGTAAATATTTTCAAAAAGTTCAGTAGGTTGAGGAGCAACTCTTTGCTCTTCTGGTCGGGGTGAAGATACCCCGAACAAGCCCCTCAAAGGATTAGTTTCCATAGTGACAAGTAACAGAAAATTTCAGCACACTATATACATGTTTCCTTACCAAGTTCCACTCACCAAAAGCGCTACACTCCCCGGCAACGGCGCCAGAAAAGAGTCTTGATGATCCACAAGTGTAGGGGATCTATCATAGTCCTTTCGATAAGTAAGAGTGTTGAACCCAACGAGGAGCAGAAGGAAATGATAAGCGGTTTTTAGTAAGGTTTTCTCTGCAAGCACTGAAATTGTAGGTAACAGATAGTTTTGTGATAAGATAAATTGTAACGAGTAACAAGTAAATAAATTAAATAAAGTGCAGCAAGGTGGCCCAATCCTTTTTGTAGCAAAGGATAAGCCTGGACAATTTCTTATAATGAGAAAGGAGCTCCCGAGGACACATGGGAATTATCGTCAGCTAGTTTTCATCACGCTCATATGATTCGCGTTCGGTACTTTGATAATTTGATATGTGGGTGGACCGGTGCTTGGGTACTGCCCTTACTTGGACAAGCATCCCACCTATGATTAACCCCTATTGCAAGCATCCGCAACTATAAAAGAAGTATTAAGGTAAACCTAACCACATCATTAAACATATGGATCCAAATCAGCCCCTTACGAAGCAACGCATAAACTAGGGTTTAAGCTTCTGTCACTCTAGCAACCCATCATCTACTTATTACTTCCCAATGCCTTCCTCTAGGCCCAAATAATGGTGAAGTGTCATGTAGTCGACGTTCACATAACACCACTAGAGGAAAGACAACATACATCTCATCAAAATATCAAACGAATACCAAATTCACATGACTACTAATAGCAAGACTTCACCCATGTCCTCAGGAACAAATGTAACTACTCACAAAGCATATTCATGTTCATAATCAGAGGAGTAATAATATGCATTAAGGATCTGAACATATGATATTCCACCAAGTAAACCAATTAGCATCAACTACAAGGAGTAATCAACACTACTAGCAACCCACAGGTACCAATTTGTGGTTTGGATACAAGATTGGATACAAGAGATGAACTGGGGTTTTGAGAGGAGATGGTGTTGGTGAAGATGTTGATGGAGATTGACCCCCTCCCGATGAGAGGATCGTTGGTGATGACGATGGTGATGATTTCCCCCTCCCGGAGGGAAGTGTCCCCAGCAGAACAACTCTGCTGGAGCCCTAGATTGGTTCCGCCAAGGTTCCGCCTCATGGCGGCGGAGTTTCGTCCCGTAAGCTTGCCCACGATTTTTTCCAGGGTAAAAGCCTTCATATAGCAGAAGATGGACATCGAAGGGCCACCAGGGGGCCCAGGAGATAGGGGGCGCGCCCAGTAGGGGTGGGCGCGCCCCCCACCCTCCTGGCCAGAGTGTAGGACCCCTGAGGTGTTTCTTCCGCTCAATAATTCTTATTAATTCCAAAAATAAGTTTCGTGGAGTTTCAGGATTTTTGGAGCAATGCAGAATAGGTTTCCAATGTTTTTTTCCTTTTTCAGCCAGAATTCCAGCTGCCGGCATTCCCCCTCTTCATGGTAAACCTTGTAAAGTAAGAGAGAATAACCATAAGTATTGAGATATAATGTGTAATAACAGCCCATAATGCACTAAATATTGATATAAATGCATGATGCAAAATGGACGTATCAGTTATTTCTCAATCCTAGCCCAATAATGAATCCTAACTGGCCAATGCCCTATGGCATACTTGGATTGCACTCAAGATCTAGTCCAAGTCTTTATAACTGACCCACCAAAATTGTAAATAGTTTTTTAGCCTTTTATAGAGGAAGTCAGCCTTCTAACTCCCCGGTGAGCAAGCCATAGATATACTTGGTTAGCAATCTCCAAATCATTAAAAAGACACTCCGTGAACAAAAGCTACACCTTGTTGTTAATCTTGCAATATAATGAGTTGGTAGGCAAAAAGACCCTTTCTTGGAAACAGAGGGTAAATGTTATAGTAGTTATTAATGGCGACCAAAAATATTTCCACCTCTCCTCTCTTTCAGCATCTCTTTACTAACAAAATCAAAGTCATTGAAGATCAGGGGTTGGAATCTTTTAACCACGACCACAAATCTGCTATTCTCAAATCTGGAACTACAAAAAAAACCTGGAACTTCCCCCCTTTAGTCTATGTACCCTCACCCTATTTCTCAACTATTGTCTTTGTGATCCCTTCGACCAATAAATTATGACGCCTTCTTATGAACCCCATTACTAGCCCTAGGTCGTATGGCTTTGGCACTGGTTTCTAAGAAAATATACTCACACTCTATTAAACATACCATTCTCCCCATTTTTATCATTGGTTGTCCACCAACTTACTGCCAATGTTGTGTGTTTCAACTCAACCTTCATGGTCCTTCCAAACAAAGATGCAACCAGGTTAGCTAACACCTTTGCCCCCACCCCCTAAAGCCTTAGCCAAACTGCTTACCAGCTGACTTAAATGCTTTATCCCTCTTTTCATCCACAAGGAGGAACCAAACAAGATGATAAAACGACGGGATATCACTGAAAACTTCATTGACGTTGCTAACCTTTTGAGTTATTATCACTCTAGGAAAGCACATATTAGGTTTGATAAAATTGACCTCAACAAATCTTTCAACTCCTATCACTGGGGCCTCCTTAACAATTCTATCGCACATGAGTTTCCCACAGACCTTGTTCTTCTGGGTCCACCTAATCTTTTGTTCGAGTGAAACCGATGTCCTGCTCAATGGTGTCCCCTGAAGTTGGATCAACTATATGAGTGTCCCCCTTTTTCCAATATCTTTTCAACATAGTTGTCAACTTGCTCAAACGCATGGTCATCCATGCCCACAACAACGGCCTTTCGCGCCAGCCTATCTACCCTAACCTCCCTCCCTCTGTCCTCCAACTTACATTGGCATCCAACTTAAAATTATTCTTCATGACTTTGCCCTTCTGCGAGCCTTGCCACAAACTTCCACAAAATAACTTATGTGTCACTGCACATCAGCCCCGGGTTGTTATCGACATTTCCTCTTCCATTGGTTGTGATTTCTCCTTCTGTTAGACTCCCTCCATCATTTGCACCCATCTGCCTTCCAGCCCAACGTCCTTAACTTCCATAGTTACCTCTCTGGTTGGGCAGCAGGCCTACTGTCTCGAGGAGCTAGACTAACTTTGTCCTCGAATCCCTTGCCACTTACTTCATGTCTAACACGATTAGACGGGCTTTGCTTCATGACTAACTTTTGAGGCACCAAGGAAACTTGCGTAGTGACTCAGTGTCTTAATGGTTGGAAAATATTTGCAAACCAAAATAATTTGTTTTCGAGGCATTACAAAACTTGGTGCTTCAAAATAATTGCTCACTTATGAAATTTCCCTTCAAGCTTTTACATATACCAGATCTCCATGGGCCCATTTGTTCCACCTACGATACTCTACCGCCATTGCCGACAAACAAAACAACCAACTTCTAAGCCTTCAACAACTATACTTTGTCCTCACCAACAATGGCCTATCCACCTTCTTCTAGGCTAACAGTTGCATCCTGGACCAACCTTTATACAATGCCTTCCCTAACCTATTCTCATTATACCAACACCACAATCCTAGTCCCAGAAATCATGTTTGATGGTCTGTTATAAGGAACCACCTTATTGGTATTGTCTCGTTAGAATTGGGTGTTGTTTTGTCCTTGTTGCGGGATTTCAAAACAAATGGATCCAATGACGAAAGATTCCTCACTCATCAGACTTCATTTTTGTGTCAACTATTAGAAACATCATTTCCAACTTACTGTCAGACTTTTAGCTACAAGGAACCTAATTAGAGGTTGTCGCTATGTCTTGGCGGCAATACCTCTCCTTGCCCGCTAGCGCATCTACATATCACTTGTCAACTTGTTGATATTTTCAGTAATATAATATATTCAGGCGAGGATCCATCCTCCTCCTCCTCCTTCCCCAGTGATTGTTCAAAAAACACATGGCCACAAGACCCAAGGAAACCAGCTCCAGTAAAGTCAAATTCTCATAGTGATGGCCAAGGTGGCATTAGAGTTGCACAAGCTAAATGATTGCCAACTAAAGTCAATATTGATAATACCGCCAAACAATTGTACAGATATAGTCAATATCTGCACAATTACTTCCTTCCCTGAAGTAGCTTTGTGCATTTTATAAGATGCTTCACCGATCACCACGTACGCTTGCACTTTGCGCAATAATGGTTGGTCCTCGCCATCGTAGCGCCGCACAGGTAGCAGAAGCAGTGCCCGCACCTGCAAATCAGAGGGGAAAAAAATTAAAGAACTGGCACTTGGCGCACATGAAAATAACTGTTGGTGTCCGGAGAAGGAGATTCAGGCCCAGTTCTTTTGCCAGAATCTGGGGATTCTCCCAGAATCTGGGTAGGGGTCGAATTCTGGGAGAATCCCCAGATTCCGGCAAAAGAACTGGCCTTCAGTGAAGCTGCAGTTACCTGCAGGCGATGAAGGTGCAGCCGTCCACCCTCTCGACGTAGATCTTGCACTTGGGGCACCTCTGCCACTTGCTCTGCTGCGCGACCTTCCTCAGCAGCAGGTCCTCCCGCCCGCGCTCGTCGTCCCCGAGCCGCTGGAACTCGGCGCACTCCACCCCCTCGTGCCACGGCACCTTGCACTTCGCGCAGAACATCCGCTTGCAATGGGGGCACTCCACCTTGGCCGCCGCCGCCGCCGCGTCGCCGTCACCGGGGTCGTCGTCCACCAGCAGCGCCGAACAGTCCTTGAAGGGGCAGTAGAACTTGAGCTCGCCTAGCGCCATGTCGCAGAGCGCGGCGCCCCACCTGTGGAACAGCGGCGTCGGGATCACGCGCCGGCACTCCTCCGGGTGCAGCACGCCGTCCTTGCAGCCCGGTTCGGGGCAGCCGATGGCCAGCAGGTTCTCCTCGACCCTCGCGGCGATGTACTGCCTCACGCAGCTGGCGCAGAACGCGTGCCGGCACCCGGAGATGCGGAAGCGCTCGACGCCGGGAACCGTCTCCATGCAGATCGTGCAGTCGAAGCCCTTGGCGCTGTTGGAGCATTCGCCTTTCTCGAACAGCTTCCTCTTGCCGCTGGCGATGTCTTTGAGGAAGATCAAGCTGCAACCATCATCATCGTCTAGATCGATCACTTGAGGGGGGCTGTCGTCGTCCAAGTCGATGACTTGACGCGTCTCTGGTTTCGACGGAGATCTGCTGGAATCGACAGGAAACAGGGGCAGCTCCGATCCTAGTTTGCGCCTCCCCTTGCGGACTGGAATGGACCCTTCGGAGGTCCCGGCGACGGCGGTTCCGGAGGAGGAGGGGACGGCGGCCTGGTCGCGAGAGGGGTCGAGTGAGAGGAGGATGGCCTGCTGGATCTGCATCTCCTCGCGGCTGTTGGAGGAGCCAAGGACTATCACGTCGTCGTCCTCATCGGACGAGATGTCGATGGGGCAGAAGGGAGCGTCGGACTTCACGGTGGCGGTGGCGGTGGCGGTGGCGGAGGCGGAGGACGCCATGGCCGGCGACGGGTCGTGTCCAGCCAGCGGCGGCGCTGCTCTGCTTCCCATCCGTCGTTGGTTGTGGGCTGGGGCCGTTTCAAATTGGAGGAGATTGCGGGACGCGTGGACGGGTGCGATCTACTGATGCGAGAGAGAGAGAGAGAGAGGGGTGGGGGCTGGATTTTGTTGGATGTGGTTAATCGAAATTAGGGCTCGCAAAAAAACTCAAATGTCGCTCTGGCCAGCTCATCGGCTCGTAAAAGTAACGAGCCAAACACTCTCAGTTTAACAATCTAAGAAAAGGGCGAACCAACCTGTGGTTGAATGGTTATATGGACTGTGGTATTCCCAACCCATCAGGGTTTAAATCGTGATGCCCGCATTTATTTTAGAATTTCCGGCGATGCGTATTCACTGGGAGGAGACGTTTTCGTCGACGACGAGGCGCCTACGGTGATTTTGTAAATCTCAAGATGATATGCCGGTGATTTCGTAAAACTCAAGATGATATGCCGGCTTAGTCTTTCGGAGGCGCTCATAGGGATATGGTGTGCGTGTGTGCGTTCATAGGGGTGAGTGTATGCGTGTGTATATGAGCGTTTGTGGTTCTTCTTGTAACAGTGCTCCTTTTTATTTATATTTATAGAAAAAATAATGGTAAATGATTCTAATGGGCGACCGGTCCGAGCGCTGCCTAAGCCCCCTTGCTCATGCGCCACGTGTCTAGTGAACCCCATGGGGCCTCTCCTTGTTCATTCTTGTCATTTTTCACCATGTGCGTGCTATGTGTTGTTGTGAGGGATGGGTTGTCGCTGAACTACTATGAGCAGAGACCAACACTGTCATCGAAGCGATGCACGAAGTATGGACGTTACGTGCTATAAAGTAGGACCACCACGTCTGCGAGTCCCGGAATCCGGACCTGCTTCTGGCGCAGTTTCCCTCGGAAGTGGATCCTCTAACATCCTCAAGGGATGTCATGAAAAGCTACAGTAAAATGTGTGTGTAAACGAACAAGGGATGTCAGGGTTACTGTAGCAACCACCGTGCGGATTTACTGTAGCATGTACAAAAATAAATCAAAAGAATAATTTTTTTGCACTATGATTTTGTTTGTATGTAATTTTTGTAAATGTATACAATAGATTTGTAATTTGTAAATTAATTATAATCATTTTTGGCTTAACCATATGGATGTGAAGGAGAGATGTCACGGTTATTGTAGTTTACGTGACATCCCTTAAGGATGATAGAGGATCCGGTTCCGTTTCCCTCATCATTGTTTAGGTACACACTTTACATTCTGTGAAGTCTGAACTTTGTTATAATCAAAGTACACTATGTAATTGTCCTTCTTCAGCCACTCATGATCCTTTCATCGTCTGGTTGCGTGACACAAAAGGGCCGGACATCAAGAGCCCAATATGCCACAATGCTCACCATCACGCTCTCCCCCTTGCATTGAGAGGGTTGTAGACTACTGTGGGCGGGCTCTAGGTCGATGCGGGCTAGCCATCCACTCGATGATACCACAAGGTCACCAACCAATGTTGCGGTCGGGTCAAACGGTGCTACAAGCCAAGTAGAAGCGTCAATGACGTGTTGCGACCGTCAATGGCGGATGTTATGATTATTGACGAAGGATGTTATGACTAGAGACAACAAATGTTGCGACCAGATAGTTTTTTTCGTCCTTTTTCCTACTAAAGTTGCGAGATCTAACGGTTTTGCGGGTAGCAATCGAGCGGCTGGCAAGGCATGTCTAATGCTCTCCAAAAACAATTTCATTGTGAGAATGTATCCTTGGTACATTCTACCCGCAAAAATAATAATTATTCTTGGTACATTCAATCAACTCCGACGAGTTTACGGAATTGCTCCATGTACAAGGCACACCCCTCGCTTCTAGTGGACTGAACTGCACTGTTGATAGGTCTTAATTTTGCAAACTCACATGCGGTAAGAGAGAAACATGACCGGTATCTTTTATTCCCTCTGATCGGAAACAAAATGTCCCGGCTTCGAACTAAGGTTTGGAAAAAAGATGTCCCAGCTTTGAACTAAGGTTTGTTTTCCTATCAGAGAGGGAGTATCATTTAAATGGTAGAGTGATCATTTTTAGAGAATTTTAAACAGTAGCTATATGAGACGAAAGATACACACACGGGACTTCAAAACCTGTCTCACATAGGAAAAATGATTTTGTACAACTAGTTGCCAATGCAACCCATATTCTCTCCTCCTTTTATATTTTTCTTGAATTTCTAAATGATGTGAAATAACTCAAGGTTGTTAGTAGTGCTATATAATACACATTGTAAAGCTTCATCCAATAATATAACCATATGTGACCCAGACAAAAATGGTAAGATTCAAATTAATGGTGATTAGTTAAATAGCATGTTCTCGCAAAAAAAGGAAGTTAAATAGCACCGAGTAGATGATATAATTTTTTCCTCTTTTGTACAGGTCATGATATTATATTTTGTTATGAGTTTGCATATGCACATGCACATTATATAGCTTGACTCACATCAATGAATTACATTCAAATGCCATGCAACATAAATTTCTACAGAAATCCAAAACATGAAAACACTCTAAAACTGATGTTTACATATATCACACAGGAAAAACACAAGAATTTTGTACTCCCTCCATTCCATATTAATTGTCGTTGATTAAGTACGGAGGGAGTACATAAGAAGCAGAAAACATGAGGTCAGACCATATGTTTGTCCTCCTCCAATATTCCCATGGATTGTCCAATTCCATAGGAATTTCATAGTAATCTTGATGAGTCAGTCCACTGTTCCAAACACAAACAGCAACATAGGAATTTCATAGTAATATTGATGCCCATGTGTTTATGTAGTGAACAAACAGATTAAATGGATTATTGGTTGCAGAATGCCGTTTCTATTTCTATCAGGATGGATGATGGATTTTCAGTCATGTGCAGAGCTACTGTCTAGCAGAGATCAATACTAGTAAAAAGTTCCCGTCATCGACATACACGGTATTTGCATGACACGACTACATCCAGTAGGCCTCTAAGCTATAGAGCCTATTAGTTTCTTATATAATGGGAAACTGGCCAGCTCCTTCATCAGGAATAATCCCCAGAACAACACTCTAGTGAATAGTGATGTTTACTAATGGAGCTCATATAGTTGCAACTTCTGATGTCCACTAACATTAGCAATGGCATCAGAGCTGCACGAGCTAATTAATGCTAACTAAATCAGTAGTAATACCCAAGTAGGCTATTGTCCAGCTTTTAACCCAATCGAGAGTACTGACATGATGAACTTGCTTCCTTGAAGTAGCGCCGGGCATCTGCAGACCATTCACCGATCACCACGTACGCTTGCACTTGCTGCAACGATGGTTGCCCTTCACCATCGCGGAGCCGCACAGGTAGCAGAAGTGGTGGCCGCACCTGCAAACCCAAGGAAACAAGAACATCTCGTCATGGACATGCAAATAATTGTTGGTGTACAGCAGATCCAGCTAGTGAAAGCTAACACAGCGCGCACCTGCAGACAATGTACACGCAGCCTTCCACCCTCTCGACGTAGATCTTGCACTTGGCGCACCTCCGCCACTTGCTCTCCTGCGCGACCTTCCTCAGCAGCAGGTCCTCCCGCCCGCGCTCGTCCTCCCCGAGCCGCTGGAACTCGGCGCAGTCCACGCCGTCGTGCCACGGCACCTTGCACTGCGCGCAGAAGATGCGGGAGCAGTGGGGGCACTCCACGTCCCTTATCACCGCGTCCCCGTCCTGGTGGTCGTCGACCAGCAGCGTCGAGCAGTCGTTGAAGGGGCAGTAGAACTTGATCCCCTCGAGCGCCATGTCACAGAGCGCGGCGCCCCACCGCTGGAACAGCGGAGTCGGGATCACGTCCCGGCAGGCCTCCGGCTGCAGCGTGCCGTCCTTGCAGCCCGGGTCGGGGCACCTGATGGGCAGCACGTTCTCTTCCACCTTCGCCGCAATGTACTGCCTCACGCAGCTGACGCAGAACGCGTGCGTGCACCCGTCCATCGGGAAGCATTCTATGGCAGGCACTTCCTCCATGCAGATGGTGCAGTAGAAGTCGTTGGCAATCGTCGTGCCGCTGGAACATTGGCCGAGCTCTTGCAGCACGGCGTTGCACGGTTGCTTGTCTTTGTCTACCACTCTGGTCGATGACGAGCTGCCAGCATCACCATCATCGTCCGTATTGATCACTTGTGGTGTGTCTGGCTTCAACAGAGAATCGCAAGAAGTAATCGGACACTTGGGCATCTCGGTGGCCGTACTCTCGGTTGTGTATCTGGCAAAGCAGGTGATGCAGATGATATGATCACAGTTTTCAGGTTTCCACGACGCTTCCAGCGATACGATCATCAGCCTGCAAACTGCACACATCATCGTGCTGCGGACGGAACCTTGGCCGGATTCTTGCAGCCCATTATAGGGATGTTCCTTCCCTTTGCCATCATCGATCTCTTTGATTGCGATCAGGCTGCCATCATCGTCTACTTCCATAAATTCATGTATCTCTGGATCGACATGATATTCGCAAGAAGCAACCGGGCACTTTGGCATCTCTGTGGCCACTGTCTCTGTTGTGTATTTGGCGAAGCAGTCAATACAGATGACATGATCACAATTCTCAGGTTTCCATGATGCTTCCAGTGATACTGTCATCAGTCTGCAAACCGCACATGCCATCGTCGTGGACTGAGCCGAGAGTCGGAGGACCTCTTCAAGCTGCTCAGCTTCGGCTGCAGCAAAATCATCATCCATCCTGCAGGAGCAAATGCAGATTCGTAGTGACATGGTGTACAAATGAAAAACACATCCAACATTGTTGTTAAGCCAGTTATATGCAATAAAGATGAAAAATTCTTGTTACCACTACAGATGAGGAGCAGTAGTAGCAATCAAGTAACTCAAATCATCAGCCATCCATCATGATATTCTTAATCAAATGAATATGAAATACGTGAGATAGAACATTCAACAAAAGAGTAAACTCCATCATGGGCCGTGTATTCGTTACGAATGATAAACATATTTAAAAAGCTTACTACATTGCGCAGGATTTATAGCTGAAATCGCGATTTCAATCTAGTTGAACCAGGATTTTTGTTGTTGCTGGTTAGGCATTGTTAAATGTGATGATACCTATAACTTTGGGTTAACCATGCCATTAAAAAAACCCGGAAGTGATTGGATTACCCAAACTCCAAAAGAATGCCCTTCATTCAAATATGCTCGCTATATGCAATGTTAGATTTGATTCTTGAAACACAGCCGGGCATGCAGACTAACCCCTCGCAAGCATATCATCGAACAGTTGAATGTGCACGTGATGACTCCTACGTTGAATATGCCTCTACACTTGATAAACAAGGGATAATGCCTATCATCTACAGTACTATCTTATAAATTTGGGTTTGTGATGGTGAATTCACTGTCTCACTCTATCCCAATTTCGCTCCTTCATCAAGGACCCGCGAAACACTCTTCGTTTTTTAAAGTTTACTAACTTACCAATTTGGGTTGGTGATAATGGTGGCGAGTTCACTGCGCCACTCTATCTCAATCTTGCTCATTCATCTAGGACCCACTAGACACTCTTCATTTATTTTTAAAAGAATCACAAGCAAAACAATTACAAGTAAAGCAATTGTGGAATCTCTGACCACGAACCTACCGCTACACACAACTTGGTCAAACTAGCAAGCAACGCCACTGACACGTTTTGAATGGGAAAATATTATACAAGTACACGGCAGTACGTACTCAAGTCAACCCGAACTAGACAGTCAATGTGACAATCGACTTTTTCCCAGCCGCTGCTAATCCCCAACCCCCATTGTCCTAACTTTTAAATTCAAAATCCGGACATGTCATGCGCCATTGGTTGAACAAGTACATGGTTATGGTATACTACCTTTTACGATGTCATGTCTTAACAAGTGTGTTGACTGTTGTGCACCACTAGTCCAACACTATCAGTTTTGCTGCTCTGTAGCAACACAGAGGCATTATGATAGTGCATTTAGACATACTTGACCACATTGCACAAGATTTTAGAGACCGCCATCTCAGTTTGGTATCCACGACATTTCTCGCTGCCAAACGGTATGAAATTTGGCTACACGCTGGCATCTGTTTTGAAATTACGGGTCAAGTCCACAGAAATACCCCTCGCTCAAATTATAGGATCTACTACACTACTACTCCACGGAAAACATACATACTGATTTTCAACGCAACCGGGCATGCAATGCAGACCGACCCCTTGCAAGCATATCGCCGGACATCTGGCGTGCACGCGCCGACCCCAACGAAGAACACGCCCTACACTTGACACGATGGCTAGCGCTGACCACATTTTGACGGTCTTTGAGTAGAGACGCTATCGAATCCAACAGCTTCAGTACTAACAACCGTGTAGAGCGTAGGGGTGGATGCTACCTGTGGCCGGCGATCAGGCGTGGGAGCTGGAAAGCACCGGCGCGTACTCCTGCAGGCTGCAGCGGTCGGGAATCGAATCGCCGCCGCCGGCGGCGGGAAGGCGAGCTAGCTGGCTGGCTGAGGAGCGCGTCGGCCGCGATCGATCGGGGAATGCAGGCAGCTAGGGCCGGCGGCGGGAGGAGGAGGAGTGGGAGCCCAACGCGCGCGCGGTGGGTGTCGTATCGTATCGAGGAAGAAGCGTGCCGATTGACGAGGAGGCGGCTTGAAGTGGACGGCCTCGCTGCCGAGGGAGGGCTATCGGGGTGTGTGCAGACGCGTTCACTCGCGTCATCGGAAGTCGAGCCGTCTCCCTGGCTGCGTTGGGCGACCGAGACCGGCGAGCCGCGACCTCGGTCGGACCCCATTAACTCGGGCTCGACCGACCCAGTCAAAGACGCGTCTGAGTTCTGACCGATGTCGTTTCAGGCGTCCTTCGTCAGCAAGCAACGGGCCGAGAGCCTGCCTGCTCTCTGCACTCGTCTCCGAACAAGCTCGCTAGGAAAGATAGGAAACCATAAATGCAAAATCTTCCAAAATCTCTGTAATGTTTTTCAAATCTGAGGATGCATTGTGGAGTACAGTAGTACAATGGTTGATGGGATGATCTCCTTTGATTTGCGGAAAGAAATTAATGTCGTTGGGATATTTTAGAGAGAGAGAGAGAGCCGGATAAAATTTGGAGTGTTTTGAAGACTAAACATATGGCGGCTCTACTAGAGTTGCTCTAAAATCATCAGAGAACTACCGTTGGAAGATCGCTGTTAAACTGAAGTCTTGTAAATGCACAATCTTGTTTGAAACTGAAGTTTTCTGTTCGCAAATTATGCCTGTAAGGAGGCGGACAATAAATGATTTGGTGTTCTTTTGAGTTGGATATAATGATTTGATGTTGATGCAAGCAAGTAATGTTGCAATCATCTTTGGTGGGCACTGAAGTCACAGGGTCAGAAAAACTGACCGATCTTCAGCGGAGCCCAGAGCACACGCGTTCTTGCCGCTGGATCCGGCCGGCTCAACCCCCACCGCCGCCGTCGCGTCCGGCATGCCCGAGCTCCCCGGCCTCGCAACCGGCGATCCGTGCAACGGAGGAGCCGCCGCCGGCGGCGGCTCCTTGTGCGCGACGAGCTGCTGGTGCTGCTGCTGCAGAGCTGCGACGCGCCGACGTGGGTGGGACGTGCCCCCGAAGCAGCGCGAGAGGCGGCGGAGCATGGACGGAGCGTGGCGGTTCGGTCGCGCAACAGGAGGCCCAGCTTTCCGTAACCCTTTGGGATCTCCTCGTCTCGTAGTATTAAACGTGGCAACGGTTCGTCCCTAGATCTCCGTAACCCCAAGCGGTACCCGGAGATTTGGGCGCTGATCGATCAAAAGGACGACGGCTCGAACCCGGACCCGGGACCCCCGCCGCCGCCGCCGGACGCCTACGCCCCGATCGATCGCGCCGCCGCCCGCGCGAGGGAGAGGTACTGCTAGCGCATTCCGTGCCCGCTCGCCTCGCCCCCTCTCTCTGGCTCGCCTG